TGCAGGGCCACAGTGCCAGCCCCTGGAACTTTTAATTCTGGTTTTCACGAACGTTTTCATTAAAAGATTTGAAAGGCAGTTAAAGTGATGGGAGAGACAGAAGGAAAGAGCTTCCAATGTTTGATTCACTCCCTCAAATGGCTTCAACTGCTGAGGCTGAGCCAGGTTAGAGCCTGGTCTCCCATGTGGGTGGCAGGGACCCAAGCCATCGGGCCATCTACTGCCTTTTTCGCAGGCACATCAGCAAGGAGCTGGTTGGGAAGTGGAGCAGCCGAGACTCAAACGGGATGCCGGCCTTGCAGGTGGCAGCCTAACCTGCAGCACTATACCGGCCGCTGGCACGAACCTTTGGAAGTGCCCTCGTAGTTGATGCTGTTAGGAGTACGTGACTTAAACTCCGAGGGCGCGAGTCTGACACCAGGCAGATGCTGATGTGGTGATTCATCCCCTGTGCGGACGAGGTGTGGGTTTGCTTCTCTTCCCAGCCTTGCCCTTCAGCTGCCTTCTGGTAGCACGACCCGTCCCCTTGGTCTCTGTGCCAAGGTCTCGTCACGCTTCGTCGCTCCGCGCGTGCTTGGTTTTTGTGAGCTGTGTACTATCGGGAGGCCTCTTTGTTCCCTGACGTCCTGAACCTCCTTCTGTGCTCCTGGCTCTCGTCTCTTCCAGTCCGAGAACTTGCGCTCAGTGATCGGGGTGTTGGGAGGGGTTCCCTGCGGTTTCTTATTTTTTCTCTTTAAAAGTTTACTTATTAGAAAGGCAGAGGGACAGAGAAGAGGCCGATCTTTATCTGCGGGTTCACACTCCCCATATGACCAGAACTGGCCCAGTTCTGGTCAAGGAGCCTAGGATTCCATCATCCCACATGGGTGGCAGGGACCCAAGCACTTGGGCCGTCATCTGTCTCGAGGAGCTGAGTCGGCAGCGGGGCAGCCAGGACTCAAACTGGGACTCCAGTGTGCGACGCTGGCCTCCCAGGCAGCGGCTGATCCTGCGCCATGACACCAGCCCCTCCCTGCGACTTAGAGGCCTCTCGAGCCAGTTCTAATTTCTAGCTGCCGAATAACCATCGAGGTACTTTTTGCTCCTAAAACTCGAGGGCTGTCTTGTTTCCTTCCTTCCCACCCAGACGTTAAGGATTTGAGGCTGCACCGACTCCGTGGCTCAGGTCGATAGCACGTGTTTGCTACCTTAGGGTTCTGTGGGTCAGGAGCCTGGTAGGGTCTCCCCAGACGAAAATGGAAGTGTGTGCAGGCGCCACCCCATTCTGGAGGTTTCTGGTGGCATCCGTTTCCTGTTCTTCCAGGGTGTGAGCAGGAATCGGTTTCCTGTGGTGGTCAGACTTGGGTCCCACTCTTAGCTTATTTTCACTTTAAGACCGAGAAGGAGAGATCTTCCGTATGCTGATTCACTTCCTAAATGCCTGTAATAGCCAAGTGGAAGCCAGGAGCCCAGAACAGAGTCTGTCTCCCATGGGAGCGTTGGGGACCCAGCTCCTTGAGCCCATGCTGCCTCCCAGGGCACTGCCCGGCAGGAAGCTGGAGCCAGACGTGGACAGGGAGCCAGCATCGTGGTGCCGCGGGCAGGGAAAGCGGTCGTCAGCGATGCCGGCATCCTCCAGGAATGTGGCCCATGCCTGGAAAAGCAGCCCGAATGCTTGAACTCCTGCCACCTGTGCGGGAGACCCGGATGGCGTTGCAGCCTTCCAGCCTCATCGCAGCCATCTGGGGAGTAAGCAGGTGGATGGAAGACCTCGCTCTCTAACTCTGCCTTTCAGAAATGAGTCATTAAAAATAGAAATGGAGCTGGGTGGGTGTCCCCAGTGGCATCGGAACTGCTATTTGAATCCTGTTTTTTTTATTTGGTTTTATTTGAAAGGCAGAGTAACAAAGGAGACGGAGATAGGTCTCCATTTTCTTAAAGTGTTTATTTTGTGGAAGAGTAATGGGGAGAACTCTTCGATCTGCTGGTTCTCTCCCCAATGCCTGCGCTAACTAGGGCTGAGTCAGGCTGAAACCAGAATCCCAGACCTTCCTCTGGGTCTCCCTCCTGGGTGGCAGGGGCCCACCACGTGCTGCCCTCCCTGGTATGTCGGGGCGCTGGATTGGAAACACTAGCTGGGACTTGAGCTGGCGCCCTGACGGGGGATGCAGGCGTCCGAAGTGGTTGACCCGCTGCCCCTCTTACCCGTGTTCTTGCTGGTTGTAAGCTGAGGGCCATTCCCAGGCCATCCCAGGTTCCCACGAGGCTGCCTCTTCCTTGGATTATGGCCTCCCTGCTCTGTCTTCAAAGCCGGTGGCCATAGGCTGAGTCCTTGCACCTCCCTAGCAGGGCAGCTGGGAAGGTTCTGTGCTCATACGGACTCCAGTGATTAGACTGGGCCTCCAGGGATCATCCGGATAATCTCGCCATCTCAATGGCTATAACCTTAATCACATCTGCCCAGGCTCCTCTGCTCTGGTCCGGCTGGTGTCAGGTGTGACATCTTGGATCTATTGTCTTCTATTGTCCTCAGATAACATCTTGGGTGGTCCCTCCTCACCTGCCCTGGAGATAGAGTTCCCCTGTCCATTGTGGCTCACTCCCTAAACAGTCAGGGCTGGGCCAGACCGGAAGCAGGAGCCAGGAACCCAAGCTGCTGCGTAAGCCCCGGCGGCATTGCAACGCCTGTCCTGGAGCCGGCTGTTCACCCCAGGCGCTCTGATGTGGGGTGCGGGCGTCTCCACGGCTCGCCCAGACGCCAGCCCCAGACTCTTGACTTGCGGGACGGCCTTCGTAGTTGGCTGCTCTCCGAGCTCTTCCCTCTGCCCGGTTCGGGGCCTGCTCAGCCCTGACCTCCTGGTTGTTGCTGTGCGCTACCTGCACGAGGACACATCCCAGAGTTCGCGGAAAGCGTGTGGGTCTGGGTCTCCTCGCGCTCCAGCGAGCTTCCCATTCAACGTTTCCACGAACTTTGAAGTGCCCTCCTGTGAGTCCGTGACTAATCTCTGAGGGAAGCAACGAGGAATGAATCACAAGATCGCGGCTGGCAGGGAGCCGAGCGTGTGTCCTCCGAGGCCTCTGCTGGGTCCCTGCCGTCCGCGTCCAGTCCTCGTGGTTACGAGCAGATCGCAGGTAGGCGGCGGCATGCCCAGTGTTCTGGGGAGAGGCTGGATTCGAGGTCCCTCCAGCAGGCGGGGAGGGCAGGCCCGCCCGGCTTTGCCACTTCCGTTCTGAGGCCAGGCAGGTTCAATCCAGTCTTCCCGGGCAGGCGTTCAGGCGTTCGTCTCCTGAAGCTCCCTTTGTTTCAGTCCTCGCTGGGCAGGGTTGGAAGCACTCACACCCGCGGGTGCGTCCTGAGCCCCCAAGCGGGAGGCGCCTGCACTCTGAACAGGGCGCGGAGGCGGGCCCTGGGGTAGCCTAGCATCAGGGGACTGCAGCTGGGAGGGAGGAGCTGTGTCCTGACCACAGGTTTGAGGGATGACAAGGGGCGGGAGGTCCCACTGTGGCAGTGGCATGTATGCCTCTGGCTGGAAGTGCCCGCTGTGCCACTGACCACCAAGGGGTCTTCCTGGAGCCTGCCACTGCCAGGGTGGCATGACTGTGGCTTGGAAGGGGCTCTGTTTGGTTCTGGAAGTTCCTCGTTACAGTGGTGACATCCACTGTGTCAGATGCTATTTGCCAAGTGTCCTTTGTTCAGAAAGGCCTTGCCTGCCACTGCCTGCCTGGTGGCGCCCACGTCTGGTCACCCAGCTCCTTACCTGGTACAGGGCCTGGCACACAGTACGTGCCCGCAGTTGAGAGTGGTGTTGGAAGTAGGAAGCGGGGACCAGGCTCCCCTGCGTCACTTGAGGGTATGACGTGGGGTCTACCAAAGCCCACCACTCACATCCCCGGCCTTGCTGCCTGCACGTGGCCCCTGAAGGCCAGCGGGGTGAGCTGGCACCTGATCTGTGCGTGCCAGGTGGGAGCTTGCGGAGATGACGGGCCTGGTCCCTGCCCAGAGCATCCTCGCAGCACAGACAGACGCCCCCCAGCCGTTGGAGCTGTTGTCGCCCTGCAGCCAGTGGTCGACCCCAGGCTAGGAACGGTGTCTTCTCTTCATTTCCCATCCTGTGCCTCCGGAGAGGGGAATTGCTAATTCTCAGTCATCAAATCGGGCCTGGTCTTCCAGCCAGACCCGCCCCACCCCGCCCCGAGAGCGATTAGGGACTCACGTCCCAGAGGATGAGGTCTCGGGGCTCCGAGGCACAGCTGGCTTCTCTCGCCCTCTCTAGCGCCCCTGCACATCTCTGGGAACAGGGGCTGGCTGGGCTCCACAGCATAGCCCTGGTCCCGGGCTCCTGACACGGGCCACGCGGTGGCACACCCTCCGCAGGCCCCTGTCAGCCCCAGCTGGAGAGAGGCCAGCTGAAGGTCTCTAATTTACAGAAGGCCCCAACCTGACCTGCCGCTGCCTCCCAGGATCTTCAGAAACAGTGCTTATTCTACCAGGGAGCCCCGTAGCCTCTCACCATCAGAAAAGTGACCCCGAAAGGGGACCTCCTCCAGATCAGATGACTTTTTGTTAAAATTTACTCAAAGCAGTCATGGGGGGTGGGGGTGGGGGTGACAGAGAAACAGTCTTCCATCCACTGGTTCATTCCCCTAATGGCTGTAATGACTGGAACTGGGCCAGGCCAAAGCCAGGAGCCAAGAACTCCATTGCAGGTCTCCCCACCTGGGTGCTGGGGCCCAGGTGCTTGGGCCACTTCCTTGTTACCTTTTCCAGACACACTAGCAGGGAAGTGGAGCAGCTGGGACTCAAACCTTTGACACGGGATTCTGGTATTGTAGAGTAGCTGGCCCCGCAAATGACTTCTTAACATGTGGGCATTCGTGTGGAACATTCTAGACATCAGAGGGGAAAAACCACTTTTGGTAATGCTCATGTGTGAAACGTGTCTTTAAAATTCTTGAACTGTGGCAATGACTTTGAGGTGAACAGAGTTGCTAACAAGCCTCGTCTTTGTTTCTTGTTCCAGGCTCAAAGATTTGGAAAGAGACAGCCTGACAGAGAAGGTAATGCCTGCCTTCAAATATGCTCACTCCTGAGGTGACTGTTCCAGATGCTGTAGCTCCCAAAGAAACTTGCCCAAGTGGAACTGGCTCCTTTTCCAATAGTTTTTCTTAAAATCTCTGAGAGGTGGAGTTACAGAGAAAGACAGGGTCTTCCGTGTGTGGATTCACCGCCCAAATGGTCACAACAGCCAGGGCTGGGCCAGGTCGTGGGTGCAGGGGCCCGAGCTCTCCGGCCGTCCTCTGCTGTCCAGGCACAGTAGCAGGCAGCTGGATGGAAGGCGGACCAGCTGGGGCTCCAACCAGTGCTCACGTGGGAGGCCAGCATTGCAGGGGGCAGCTTAACCTGCGGTGCCACGACGCTGGCCTCTGCCACGAGGTTTGGAAGATGGAAGGTCTTGTCCAGTGTCCCCACACTGTGCTGCAGATGGACCAGCCTGTCTGGGTAACAGTGTCTTCAAAGGCACACTTCTACTCTGATCCACATCGGGACAGATGGAGTCTCTTATCCAGAATGCCTGGGGCCGCAAGTGTTATTGAGTATTTTGGGCTGTTTGTAGAAGCTGTTCCATGTGTACCTTCTACACATGGCCTAAAGGTAGTCTCACATACTGTTAGTACATCTGGATTCCAACTGACGCACCAGGGGGTCAGGGTGCAGCTTTCCACCCGTGTGGGCATGCTAGCACTCGGTGCCAGATTTTTGAACATACCAGACTTTTGGGTTACGGGTGCTCGACCTGTGTCTGTCTCCATCTTTTTTAGATCTATTCATTTCAATGGCAGATGACAGAATCTCCTGTCCCCTGGTTCACTGACCAGATGGCCACAATAACCGGATCTGGGCCAGGATGGAGCCAGAACTCCACTGGGGTCTCCCATGTGGGTGGCAGGGGCCCAAGCACTTGGAGCCTCAGCAGGGAGCTGGATCAGAAGCCCGGCAGCTGGAGCTCACGTCTGTGCCGTGTTTAACCTGCTGCACTGCAGCACTGACCCTCCATCTTGCCCCACCCCCCTTTTACTTGAAGGGCGGAGTGACAGATCCTGTCTGCCAGTTCACTCCCTAATGGCCCCCGTAGCCAGTCCTGGGCCACACTGCAGCCAGGAGCCAGGATCTTCATCTGGCTCTGCCATGTGGGGGACAGGGGCCTGTAGACTCGGGCCATCTTCTGCTTTCCCAGGCACATTATCTGAAGATGAGCAGCCGGGGCTTGGGGCAGTGCCACGTGGGATGCTGGACTTGCAGGCAGCTGCTGGACCCCCTGCACCACAAAGCTGACTCTCATCTGGCTTTTTTTTCCTTAAGATTCATTTTATTTGAAAGGCAGTTTACATATAAAGAGAAAAGATGGAGAAGTCTTGCACCCTCTGGTTCACACCCCAGATGGTTGCAACTGCCATGGCTGGGCCAGATTGAAGCCAGAAGCTTCTTCCAGGTCTCCCATGCGGATGCAGGGCCCCAGGGTTTGGGGGCATCCTGTGCTACATTCCCAGGAACCTTAGCACGGAGCTGGATCGGAAGCGGAGCCGCTGGGACTCCCACTGGCTCCCCACATGGATGCTGGCGTCACAGGGAGTAGCTTTACCCATTGTGCCACAGCGCCGGCCCAACCCTCCTAATCTTCCTGTTTTCTCCACTTTGGAGATGGGAGTGATGTGACCTCAATAGAAACGTCACAGCCCTGTTGCACAAAATGTTGAGTTTCTCGGACCGAGACGGCACTGCCTGCCGCTCCGTCGCTGAGGCGTGACCAGGCAGCTTCGTGCGCCGTGTGCCCTCGCCCGGGAGTGAACAGCGTGTGGGGTTGGACTGCTAACGCTGTGTCCTCCCCTTAGGAGTGCGTGAGGGAGAAATTGAATCTCTTGCATGAATTTCTGCAAACGGAAATAAAGAATCAGTTGTGTGACTTGGAAACCAAGTTGCATAAGGAAGAACTCTCCGAGGTAAGTCGGTGCCCGGCACCTGGGCTTCTAGAAAGACGTCCGCACCCCCTCCCCGGTGCCCCGGCCGCCCAGGGGGGCGGAACCCCCAGCTCTGCTTGTTGCCTGATGATTGTGAGGGAAACGTGCGTTTCCCTGTTCTCTCGCTGCCACTTGTTTACATTCACTGCTACCTAAATTATCCTTTCCTGCTGTAGGAGGGCTACCTGGCTAAAGTCAAATCCCTTTTAAATAAAGATTTGTCCTTGAACGGAGCTCACGCCTTGAGCCGAGACGCCAACGGCTGTGTAGGAAACGGGAGCCAGGCAAGCGGCGAAGAGCGGAGAGCGGGCATGGCGGAGCCCAGCAGACCCCCCAAACCCAGCGCCAAAGCTCGCACGCCCAGGAGAAGCAAGGCCGATGGCGAGCCCAAGAGTAAGGACCCTGGGCTTGTGGCTGACCTGCGCCCAGTCCTGCCCCGGGGCAGGATTCGTGTGGACTGCTAACCTAGAGCTGCGTGGGTGGTCCCCAGTTCAGGCTTTTCCTTGTTGGGGGCGGGGGTAGGTGACTTTAGTCTAGCTTTATCTTTGCTTTTGGGAGGTATGGAAGTGATGGGCTCTCAGGAGAAAGCGCACTGGGCATTTCGGTTTCCCCTTGGGCTGGTGACAGCCGGCACGATGCTGTGGCGGCAGTCGCGGCTCCTGGTCAGCCCCACGATCGCTAGGGTAAACAGTGACATGTCCTGAATGTTTCTCCTTTTCAAGACTTGCTTACTCTTTCGAAAGGCAGAGTGTGCTAGAGGGGATTAGAGAGCGAGTGCTTCTATCCGCCGGTACATCCCAAGTGGCTGCAGTAGGCAGGGTTGGGTCAGGCCAAAGCCAGAAGCCAGGGACTTCATCCCGGTCTTCCATGTAGGTGGCAGGGACCCGAGCCCTTGGACCGTGATCTGCTGCTTCCCCAGGCAGCTGCATAGGAAAGAGTACCCGAGACTCGAAGCCGTGCTGATACGGAGTGCCAGGGTCCCAGCAGCCGCGTAACCCACGGTGCCCCGGTGCTGGTCCCTCACCGTTCAGCACCTCATGTGAGATAGTCCACACTTGTTCACAAGTCACCTGACAGAAAACCTACTTGATTTTCCAACTGTAGGTTTATTTAAGTGTCCCAAGCGCATGTGAGGTAGGCAGGTGAAAGGGCCTAGGACTGGATCGGGGGTCTGGTTCTCAGCACTTCATCTTGTGATGGTAGAGGGGACGTTCTGGTTCGTTGTCTGGTTCAGGCTCCTCCTAGGAACCCGCGGGAAACGGCTCAGCGAGCCGGCGGTGCCGCTGCTGGTGCTGGCAGGCTGGTTACTGACTGGAACAGAAACTGAAGGGCTCTGGCCTCAGCTCCTGGCTCCCCGCGGCACCTGGGTAGCGTTGAAGGACTGCACGCTGGCTGCGGGCCCACCTGTTCATGGCAGCTTTCTCTTTTTCCCCTGAAACAGTGGAAGACTTACCGAGCCCCATGGTGACGAGGAGGATCACCAGGCAGACCACCATCACGTCTCACTTTGCCAAGGGGTCAGTACATAGCGGATGGGCCGCTGCCGCCTCTCGGGGCCAGCTGCCTCTTGGTCGAGTGTGGATGGAGTTGGTGGGGTGTGACTTGGCAGTCGGGACTTCAGTACCACATGGGTTTTTATCTGGCTTTGAGACATCTGTGAGTAGCATTTCTGAGGACGTCATCCCTTGTCTTTACCCTAAAGATCATGGCTTCCTTCTAATGACTTGGAAGGCAGAGAGACGGAAGACAAACAGATCTTCCGCTTGCTGGTTCGTTTCCTAAAAGCCTACTACAGCTGGGACTGACCAGGTCAAAGCCAGGAGCTTGGAACTTTGGGTCCCCTACCTGAGTGGCAGGAACCCAAATACTTGGGCCCTCCCCTGCTGCCTCCCAGGCTGTGCATGAGCAGGAAGCCACACGCCAGGACTCGAACCAGGCACTCTGATACGGGATGCTGGTATCTCACGTGACTTCACTGCTGTGCCAAATATCTGTCCCTTAGCAGGCTGTCTCATAAAACGCAACACAGAGGGGCCAGTGTTGTGGAACAGCAGGTAAAGCCACCACCTGTGGCGCCGGTAGATCCCATAAAGGAACGGGTTTGCTTCCCGGCTGCTCCCTTCTGGCTGCTCCACTTCCGATCTGGCTTCTGGCTAAGCGCACCTGGGAGGGCAGCTGGGAGGCCCCAACTCTGGGTCCCTGCACCCGTGTTGGAGCAGGAGAGCTGGAGGGAGCTCCTGGTTTCAGATTGGTCCAGCTCCGGCTGTTGTGGCCATCTGGGGAGTGAACCAGCCGGTAGAAAATGTCGCTCTTCCTCTAACTCTGCCTTTCAAACAAATCTTTGAAAAAATCAAAAGTTAACACTGCTCGTGCCAGGTAAAACGTAAGGACGTCTTTCTATGAAATAGACATACGTAATTCACGTTCCTGTTGACCCATTTGTGGTAAGCAAGCCATGTAGCAGACAGGCAGCTGGGGCCGGAGGCCTGGTCGGACTCGGGTCTGTTTGGCGAGGCTGACTTCCTCCTAGGTGGCTGTCAGGCCTGCGGGTCCCCTTCCCTGACACCAGCAGCCACGGAGGAGCGTCCAGAGCCGTGACCGCTCGGGGCTGGCTCGATGGCGGCACCCAGTCGAGCAGAAGCCTCTGGGCGTCCTGGCCTCGGGAGGCCCTGGGAGGGAACTGGCCTCTCCATCTAGGTCCTGAGTCAGTGTTGGGAAGGAGGAGCGTAAGTCAGATGGGGCCCCCGGGGGATCTGGGGTCTCTGAGCTAAGCCAGCCTCTCTCCGTGTGACAGCCCTACCAAACGGAAGCCCGAGGAGTTGGAAAAAGCCAAGTCGGATGAGTCCGAAGAGGAAAAGGACCAGGTAGGGTGGCCTCGGCGCCTCGGCTGCACTTGCGGGGCTGGATTCGCTCACCGTGCCCTCACGTGCGAGCGTCGTGTGGCCAGGAGCCTGTGGGGACAGCCAGTGGGAGGAGTGTGAGCGCAGGATTTCTGAGGGCCTGACTTGAAGGCATCGGCGCGCAGCATGGGGAACGTGGCAAGCTTGAACCCTACAGGGCGGGCCGGGACTCAGGGGGCCCCAGGAAGAGTTGCTGCTGCAGCTCCCGCCCATCTAGGGGCGAAATCTTGGGTCCCACGTACTCGTATGTATTTGCACTCGGCTGTTAGGGGCTCCGTGTCACCTGGTACGAGAGGTCCCGTGCACCATTGGCCTGCTCTCCCCAGTAGTGACATCCTGGGGACTATAATGGCAGCAGAACCGGGTGCAGTCTGTAGACTGCTCACAGGGCGTGCGTGTGCATGCGTGTGTGTGCGTGTTCCTCTGCGGTCCCAGGTAGGGATCAGAAGGTACAGGACTATTTGCCCACATGCTTTCATCCTCTTTCAATCGGACACAAACACGAGGACCCCCGAGCTAGCCGGGAAGCCTCGTGAACTTGGACAGCAGTGGGCTGGGTGGGCTGCTCAGCTGAGAAAGAGCCAGCGCCCATTGGGGTTGTCACTGTCACTGCCTGGTGGGAATCCCCCACGGCCACCTGGGATGCTGTGAGGTTCTAGAACTCCTGACACGAGAAGGGGGGCCTGGTCCTTTGCCACTGGGTCCCTGGGCGGTCTCCAGGGGCCAGGAGCTTGCTGGCCCCTCCTGGGCCTCGGCTGGTCTAGAGGGAGGCGGCGCATCAAAGGTGGGCGGACCATTGCCCAGAGCGGTCTGCAAATGGCCAGCCCTGCCCCTCCTCCCCGCCTTGTTGTTCGCCACGTCCTGTGTGTTTACCTTGACTCACGCCTGTGGTGGTATCTTCCTGGGAAGCCAATATCTGGTGTTTGTTCTTCCCAACCCCACACAGGAGGAGAAGAGACGGAGAGTCAGATCCACAGAACGGTAAGAGCGGTTACCACGCCCTTTCTGTTCTCCGCATCCGACTTCATTGCGGAAGTTCGTTTCCTGCAGGGTTTAGAAACGAGAGCTTTATGGTGCTCCGTGGGAGCCACAGCCCTGCCGTGAGGATGCGGAGTTTGGGGTCAGATTGTGAACTCCAGTCTGCATTTTTTTGGGAGGCAGAGAGGCGGAGACGGACACCTTCTACCTGGTGGTTCACTTCACAAATGCCTGCGACGTCCAGGGCTGGGCCGGGCCCACGCCAGGAGCCCGCAGCTGAATTGGTCTCCTGCGTGGGAATGAGGGGCCTGAGTAGTTCCGCCGTCACGTGCTGCTTCCCAGGGTGTGGGTCAGCAGGAAGCTGGACTGGAGCCGGAGCTGGGGCTGGAACCCAGGCACTCCAGTGGGGGATGTCGGTGTCCCAGGAGGATGCCTGTCCCCAGTGTGACAAGTGACAGAAGTGACTCGGGCGAGCGGCCCGTGTAGCCAGCAGCAGGTGCAGAGATCACACTCAGTCCTGGATGTCCAGCGAGGCCTCTGGAGATGGGGACGGTGTTTGGGCTGGGAGAGGGAGACTGCTGGAGAAAATGGATTCCAGAGAAGGAGCCCGCGTCAGTCACCCTGGCTGTGTGTCACTTTGTCCAACAGAGTCCCTGAACCTCTTCCTGCAGAAGAACCGGACAACACGACCCCAGGAACCCTCGCCGTAGGGGAAGAAGAGAGACGTGATAGAGTAAGTCCTTGGCAACTTCGCCTTAACCTCAGAGCGCCCACTGGGGTCCAGGGGTGGGGGCAGGGTTATGGAATATATAGGAGCAGAATGACTGGCTGATCATCAAAGTGGCCTTGACTTAGCTTAAACAGAACTGCATTTGCTTCTAAGATTTATTTGAAAGGCAGAACGCTCTCCTGTCCGCTGGTTCACTCACCAAACGGCTACCAGGACCAGGGCTGGGCCAGGTGGAAGACGGCAGCCTGGAACTTGGGCTGACACGGGCTGCTTCCCCAGGCGCATGAACAGGGAGCTGAATTGGAAGCAGGGCAGCAGGGGCTCGAGCCGGCGTGCTGATGCGGGATGCCAGCGGTGCAGGCAGTGGCCTAACCTGCAGTTCGTCAGCCTTGTTCTGATTCGCCACGTGGGAAGTGGATTCTGGTGGTGGTCAGAACCTCAGGGTCGGGCGTGGGCATCAGGCAGGCCTCTGCTACTTAGTCACTGACAAGGTCTTCATGAGGAGAACTTTCAAGTTATTTCTCTAGAAATAGACGGACAGAGCTCCCACTTCCTGGCTCATTCTCCGCATGGCTGCAGAAGCCAGGTCTAGGCCAGGCCAAAGCCAACAGCCAAGAACTCCATCCGGTCTCCGACTGGGTGGCAGGGTCCCGAGTACCTGAGCTGTCCTCGCCTGCTGCCTCCCGGGGTGTGCATTGGCAGGAAGGTGGAGCTGGAAGCAGAGCTGGGGCTCCAGCCCAGGTGCTTGGCTGTGGGAGGCGGACCTCCCAGGCAGCATCATTTTTTAAATTTTATTTGACCGAGTTAGAGACAGAAAGGTCTTCCTTCTGTTGGTTCACCCCTAAAATGGCTGCTACGGCCAGCGCTGCGCCAATCCGAAGCCAGGAGCCGGGCGCTTCCTCCTGGTGTCCCATGCGGGTGCAGGGCCCAAGCACTTGGGCCATCTTCCACTGCCCTCCTGGGCCACAGCAGAGAGCTGGCCTGGAAGAGCAGCCAGGACTAGAACCAGGCGCCCATATGGGATGCTGGCGCCGCAGGTGGAGAATTAACCAAGTGAGCCGCGGCGCCGGCCCTCAGGCAGCACTTTAACTCTGTGTGCAACACGAGCCCCACAAAGAGCTCCTGGGAGGCGCCAGATCCGCAGCATGGTCTGGACGTGACGCTGCGTTCTTGTCTGAGATCAGAGCTGCTGTTTCCCCAGAACTCTGGCTCTGGAGGTCCTGGGCCACGTGGAGCCAGGGTCCTGGAGACCTGGGGGCTGGGGCACCTGGGGGAGGGCAGAGCTCCGTGCTGTGCTGCGCCCCCGGGGGACTGAGCAGGCTGTGCAGGGGCTCCTGGACCTGCCGCCGCCGGGGGCTTGTCCTCTGTCCCTGCAGCTACACGGCCCGCGGCCACAGGTGCAGGCAGCTCCGGCGGGTTTGCCTTCCCCTGTTCCCGCTCTTGGAATCTCTTGCGGTAGGAAGCTGCACTCGTGTCTCCGAGCACCACTGGCCTTTCTGCTTTCGACCAACTCCCTTGTGTGCAATTTCTGAGGTTAAATTTGCTGAGTCACTGTCTCGTGAGGTGAGGTATGTCTAGTTTCTGGCTCGCGCTTCTTTTCCTGGAAAAGCAGTGATGGAGAGCTCCGTCTCCTTGCTGGTTCGCTCCCCAAATGGCTGCAGTGATGCAGGCCTGAGCCAGGAGCCTGGGACTCGCTCCTGGTCTCCCAGGAGGATGGCAAGGGCCCAAGTCCTTGGCCCTTCGCCCAGGCACAGTAGCAGAGACTTGGGTCACAGGTGGAGCAGCCGGGACTTGTACTGGTGCTGATACTGAATGCCTTGGATGCCGGGGTTCAGGCGGCAGCTCAGCCGGCTGTCGCAACACCGGCCCGTGTGCGTGGCCCTTTAAGCCCAGGCCGTGAGTGCTGCTGGCCATGTTGGAGACGGAGCTGCTTGTTAGTCCTCGTTTGAGAGGTGATCTTTCCGTGCGGTGGTCGGCACGGACGACAGTAACCTTGCTGTAAGGGCACTTGAGCCTCTGTGATCTGTTTTGTAAGACTTTCCTTCATTTCCCGTCGGCTTACTCAACTGAAATAAATTACTGTCCTCTATTACTAATGGTTACGTGTTTGGGAATGTTTATGTGTATGTTTTCAAGTTAATCAGGAACAGCCAAAAAATTGCTGTCTCAAATCTTAAAAGATGTATTTGAAAAGCAGGGTAACCAGAGAAAGGGAGGGAGCGATCCTTCTCCTGTGGGTCTACTCCCCAGATGGCTGCTACGGCCAGGGCTGGGCCCGGCTGAGCCAGCGTCCTGGAACTCCATCCAGGTCTCCATGTGCATGGCAGGGGCCCGAGCACCTGGGCCGTCGGGGAGACGGTCTTCATTCCTACCCCCAGACTGTAGGACCAGTTAATCTCGCTTCCACAGAACACTCAGTAGGTCAGGGCCAGGTGGGAGAGAACTAACCGTCCCGTGTTTCCTTACCCTAGGAAGAAAAGCGGCTCAGGAGTCAGGCCAGAGACCTGTGAGTATTCCTGGCGCGCTTGGTGCTGGGGGCTGGATGGCGGCAGGACTGTGGGAGAACAGTGGGTGGGTGCAGAGCCCTCATGTTAGTTAGGCTCGGAGTGCATGGTCAGCTCTGCCTGTGGGAGCCCAGATGGCCACGGCACAGCTTGACCCAGGCCCTCCGCCACGGCCACGTGATAGGGAAGGTGCTGGCCTTCCAGCACCAAGTGCCTGGTCTGTCCTGAACGCCACAGCCCAGCTCACAAAGGAGGTTTTCTCAGCTCATGCATGCGGAGCCTGGGTGGTTCAGGGTTAAACAGTGCCTCCAGTGAGGGCCTGCTTGCTGGTGGGGACTCTGCAGCGTCCCCGGGTGACCCTGGCGAGGGCAGCCGCCAGACACACGTTGAGGCCAGGCCTGAGTCGCGAGCGGGGCTGAGTGCCTGCCCCGAGTGGCAGGGCACAGGCTGGGGAGGTGGAGGCTTTGCAGTGGGTGATGGAGCACTCGTGGTCACACACAGGCTCAGATGGGCGCAGTCCTGTGGTCTGGCTTGTGTTCAGCCCTGGCGTCTGTGCCCGCCGGTCACATCTTGTGTCAGGGGTCTTCCTGAAGAGCATGACGTCACATGTGCCTTTGGGCCCCCTGCGAAGGGGACTGGGGAGGGGTGGCGTTGGCTCCGGGGGCTGACCGGCACGTGTGCTCTTTGTGGCAGGACACCCAAACCAAAACCCGAGGAGGAGCCCGACCAGGAAGCCGGACCAGGAACTCAGGCCGAGATGGAGGAAGAAGGCGATGAGAAAGTAAAGCGGAACCCTTGTGTTCTTTCTCCCTTATTGCTGGTCCCCTTGGGTTGGGAGATGGCATGGGGCGCAGTTCAGGTTCGAGCCAGCCCCACGTGCCGACAGGACGTGGGTCCCAGAACCCCTCTGGGCTATCGGAATCCGCGGGTGCCCGAGTCCCTGCTGTAAAGCGACATGCTGTCTCCATGGAGCCCCTGCACAGCCCATAGACTGTCACCGGGGTAACTTGCAACACCGGATGTGGTGTCCAAGCTACCTCAGTGTCATGCTGTGTTGTTGGAAATAATGACAAGGAAAAACGAATATGGATGCATTTTTTTCACATGTTTTCAGTCTGGGATTGGCTGAGTCAGCAGATGTGGATGCTGGAGGGCTGACCACCTGCGGCAGGGGCGGGGCCCTGGGAGAGGAGAGGCCGGCGAGGGTCCTGCACCCCAGGGAGGGGCACGAGCTCCTCGCCGTCCGGCTGAGAGGCTGTGCTAGGGAGATGGCGGGATGCAGACGCGCAGCTCGGGGAGCCCCAGGTCATGATCTGGGTCGGGCGCCGGCTCCCTTCTGCCTTGGTTGGCGAGGGGCTGTCCTCATCCCGATAGCGGAGGAACCAGCTGGTGCTGTCTGTCGCCTTTCCTGTCCAGACCTCTTGCCCGGGTCCCCTCGGGCTAGAGATCTTACCTCCCAGCCGGCACTGTGGGCCCGAAGGGCTTTGAGGCCCAAGCACTCGGCTTCTGATGTTGCCGACTTCTGTCTTCACACACGGTCTTGGATGTGTTGCTTCATGCGAACGCACCGCGTAGACTGCCAGAAGGGCGTCTTGGGGGTTCCTACGTGTTCTAGTGACCCGTGCCAGTGTCCTCGGTTGAATCCCTCCTGCCTCTGGCCGCGTGTCGCTCCTGACAGAGCTGACATACACAAAGCGTCCATGCAACATTCCCTGCTCCGCGGAGCTGCTCCAGGGCAGTGCAGAGACTTTGCCCGAAGGCCATATCCAGCCTCCTGCCTGGCCTGGTTTATCAGTAAAGCCTTAGGGGGACAGAGCCTCTGGCTGGCTGGCAGAGGCGAGCCGTGGTGACAGACGTGAGCGCTGGGGGCCTGGCCCTTCGCAGAAACACTTGGCTGGCCCCTGGGCGGGGAGACCCTTCTGCACCCTCTGGTGGGCAGGGACCTAAGGAAGGAAGAGTCGGAAGTCTCATCCTACCCTGTGCTGGGCCCCGGTCTCCCCGTCTGTCACCGGGGTCCCGGTGCTTTGGTGTTGGTGTCTGTGTCGCTCTGTCCCAGGAGCTGACTCCTCCCCTCCCTCCCTCCCTCTCCCCTCTCAGGACGAAAGGAGGCCCAGAAGTCAACCCAAAGACCTGTGAGTGTTCAACGCATGTGTGTCGCGTGCTGCTTGTTCCCAGAGTGCCCACGCTCATGTTGCAGGGGGCTGGGGTGACCCAGAAGTGCCCGGGCTGGCTGGTGCCGCCAGGAGCTGGATGGCTCAGGGCAGGGCCGACACCAGCTCCGACCTTGGCCCCTCGGTTTGCAGCCCCTCCCGTTAGTGCCCCTCCTTTACAGCCCCTGGAATGTTCTGCCCTGTGATAGGTATAGTTTGTCTCTCCCCTGTCCCCATACGATTTTACTTGAAGAGTGATGGGTTTCCCACTCACTGGTTCACTCCCCAAATGGTCGCGATGACCTGGGCTGGACCAGGCTGGAATCGGGAGCCCCATCGAGGTCTCCCAGGTGGGTGGCAGGAGCCCAGGCACTTAGGGCATCACCTGCCGCCTCCCAGGCGCATCAGCAGGGAACGGATCTGAAGTGGAGCAGCCGGGATCTGAACTGGCACTCCCGTGTAGATGCCGGTGTCGCAGTGGCCTAACCCACTGCCACAGCACCAGCCCTGGTTTGTCGTTCTCGGTATGAGTTGGCCAGAGTTGGCTTCTCTGGGAGAATAGCTACTGTATCTGTTCACTCAACAGAGCCGCCAAACGGAGACCCGAGGAGAAAGAACCTGAGCGGGTGAACCCACAAAGCTCTGACGAACGGGATGAGGATGAGAAGGTGAGAGCCGGGGGCCCTATTCAGTCCCACTTTATCCCCAGCGGCCCCTCGGCCAGCGCACTCGATGGATCTTAAAAACGGACACTTCTTACGTCCTTTGTCCTGAAATGCAGCGCAAAGGATAGGGTCTGGGCCCTGCCGGCGCTCATTCCCCCGCAGTGACCAGCTCGTGGCCGGGCTTGTCCTAGCGAAACCCCACCCATCCTCCTCACCCCACCCTGCTGTTGCACAAACCCAGGCGTTACTGGAATACTTAAACTGGCTCTTAAAAGACTCTGGCAGTAAACAACCACAGCACCAAGAGCAGGCGTGACATGGTGACGCTATGAGGCTGGGCTGTGGCCACGTGTCCCTCATCACCGTCGGGACCGATACAGGGTCCCTGCCTCAGTCACATGTTGCTTAAATGACAAGGAGGCTGGTTGGGTTGTGTGTTGTCAGTCTTGTCCCTGGGTGAACATGGTGGCGTGGGCCTGCGCCAGAAGCTAAGACAACGATGGCGTCGCCAGGCGGGGCGTCTTCGGGCCTGCCGTGTGTGGTGTGCGTGAGACTACTCGCGTTTGACTTGTCCCAAGTTCTCTGGTTTTCCCACTCTTACGTGGAAGCTGTAGAAGGCCGGTGTGGTTTCGATCTTTGCCAGTCGGGTCTGCCTCCCAGCCTGTCTCCTGCAGACTCCCTGACAGATAAAGGGCTTCTAATTGTCCTAGAGAAGCTGTGGGATGTGCCGGGGCTCCTGTTAGGGGCACCCAGGAAGGGGCAGTTGCGGGGCAGTGTTGGCGCTGGTCCTGGGCTCAGGTGCTGGCCGCCTGCTGCGTCTGTTACAAAGCCCTCCTGCGCGCTCGCCTTGGTTTGGACGTCACTACCTAAATCCAGTGTTTCCCTGGGAGTTGGCAGGCCGGGCCTAGTCTAGGTCTCTTTCCCCTGTTCACTGGAAGTTCTTCAAGATTTGAGAGGCAGAATTAGGGAGAGACAGGTCTACTATCCGCTGACTTACTCCCCAAGTGGCTCAAACGGCTGGAGCTGAGCTGATCTGAAGCCAGGAGCTTCTTCTGGGTCCCCTACATGGGTGCGAGGGCCCATGTGCTTGGGCCATCTTCCAGTGCCTTCCCAGGTACACTAGGCAGCTGGATTGGAAGTAGAGCAGCCTGGATTCAAACCTGGCCCTAAGTGTTTGTTTGTTTTTTTTTTTTTTTTTCAGAATTTTCATGTACTTGAAAGGCAGTGTGGGGGGAGGGGAGTACAGAGAGCTTTGGCTTCCTGGTTCACTCCCCAAAGGCCTACAGCCACTAGGCTAGGCCAGGCCAGAGGCTGGTACACCACTGAGCCTCCCCAAGGGAGTTGGGGACCCAAGCCCTCACGCCATCACCTGTCTCCCAGGCGGCCCATTAGCAGGAAGCTGGATCAGAAGTAGAACAGCTGAGACTAGAACTGGCTGGCATCTCAAGCGGTGGCTTAACCCTCCCCGCCACCGGAGCTATCCCATTTCATGTCTTTCATATTGGCCTCTCATGAATCTCCTACGGAAGTTGATGGTGCTAGGATTTTTTGATTTTTTTTTTTTTTTTTTTTTTTTGACAGGCAGAGTAGACAGTGAGAGAGAAAGGTCTTCCTTCTGCCGTTGGTTCACCCTCCAATGGCCACCGCGCTGCTCCGAAGGCAGGAGCCAGGTGCTTTTCCTGGTCTCCCATGGGGTGCAGGGCCCAAGCACTTGGGTCATCCTCCACTGCACTCCCTGGCCACAGCAGAGAGCTGGCCTGGAAGAGGGGCAACCGGGACAGAATCCGGCGCCCCGACCGGGACTGGAACCCGGTGTGCCGGCGCCGCTAGGCGGAGGATTAGCCTAGTGAGCCGCGGCGCCGGCCTAAAGGATTTTTTGATTCTAAGACTTCAGATACTAAGTGAATTGGGTCTCTCGCCCTTGAGCCCTGCTGTGTTTTGGGACAGTCCCACGTGCAGAGTTCTTAACTCTGAAGCTCCGTGCGCGTGTAAAATACTTACCAGTGCTCCTTTCTCTTCACTTAGGAGGAGAAGAGACGCAAAACTACGCACAAAGAACCGTAAGTCCATTTTTTGTACTTGCAGAAATACTGCACTGATTGTTCTAGAATCAAAGACAAAGGGAGCTGCTGCAGCAGCTGTGGCCACCTCCTGGGTGGGGGTGGGTGGGCACAGGACCCAAAGCCCCACTTCTGCCGTGTCGGGCAGGATCTTCCGGGTGGTAAAGACCTACTCATGCCCCTCCCGTGGCGACTGGTGCTCCTGTCGGGTGGGTCATGTGTCCTGTCGGACAGGGCTGATCCTCATCATGCAGTGATCAAAGAACAAGCACTCCTGTGTGGTTTTTTTCCCCCCTAGAACTGAGAAAAAAACGGCTCGCAACAAAGTCCAGGTGAACCCCAAGGTAAGGAGTGGGCCTCTGGGGACGGGGTGGGGGAGGGGCAGCCCGGTGGGGGCCGTTGGAGCAGCCTGTCCGAGCGCCTCCCTGCTCCCTCCCTCATTCCCAGCCTCCCAAGTGCGTGCAGTGCGGGCAGTACCTGGACGACCCGGATCTCAAGTACGAGCAGCACCCCCCGGACGCGGTAAGTGCCCGCTCCTCGCGGCCTTCTCCCTACCACGGGGTGGCAGCCCCGGTGTGACGTCCCGTGTCCCACAGCTGGAGGAGCCGCAGATGCTGACGAATGAGAAGCTGTCCATCTTCGATGCCAATGAGTCCGGCTTTGAGAGTTACGAGGCCCTCCCCCAGCACAAACTGACCTGCTTCAGGTGAGGGCTGTATGCGCGTGTACGTGTGCGTGCGTGTCTGCCTGCATCACTGCGGGACGTGCTGCCCTCACGTCGCCACCTTGGTCGAGGGCCCCAGCGCCCCTCAGCTGCTAACCTGCGGCATCTCTGAAGGCGTTAGCACTCGCGGTGAGGCGCGGAGTTGCCCTTGGCGGTTGTGCCTGTGTTTTTTTGGCAGTGAAAACTGCGGGTTAAATCCTGCCGGTCCCTATCTAGAAGCTCTGTGGGTGCTGTGGATCCAGCGTGTGGGACCCCCCCTTCAAGACAAGTGGCCTCAGGTGGCCAGCTGGTGTCCTTTCTCCGAAGCGCTTGGGACTAGAGATGTTTCTGGTTGCCTCTTAGAGGAGGCAGAGTTACAGAGGGAGAGGCCGAGGAAAAAGGTCTTCACTCCCCACGTGGCCACAGCAGCCAGAGCTGGGCTGATCCGAAGCCAGGAGCTTCTTAGCCATGTGGGTGTAGCGGCCCAAGCACCTGGGCCATCTTCCACTGCTTTCCCGGGTGCATTAGCCGGGAACCGGATGGGAAGTGGAGCACCAGGGACTCGACCCAGCGCCCCTATGGGATGCAGGTGCTGCAGACTGTGGCTCAGCCAGCTATGCCACAGCACTGGCCTCTATTTTGTACCATGCCTGATTTATTAGAAACAAATTCTAGAAAATCCCCCCCAAACCATTTGTCAGCTTTTGTAGTGTTAGAACACATTAGTTTGTACTGAAGTTTCATGGTACTAAGTTGTCAGAGTTTTCTACTTGTGGCTCCAGGTGTTACACTCTGGAGCGGTTCAGGTTCCGGGTCCCCGCGGCTCAGGCTGCGGCGGCTGCCACAGACCTCCCAGGCCTGGCGAGCGGAGGCTCAGTGGTATAGGGGTCACCGTGGCCAGGGCCCCCCACGGTGGCAGGGGCTCAGGGTGGGCCTGTGCTGACCAGAGGTGTGTGGTAGGAACATTCCAGCGCAGGTGGGATGGGCGGGCCTGGGTCACACGGCCTTAGGCTAAGGCACGCTGACTGGCATTTGAGGGCTGGCCTGTGGCGTCCAAGCTGCACCCTTGCCCCTGCTCGTGGGCTGAGGCCCGGGCTCTCCCATGTCCCCAGGTCTGTTTGCTTCCCAGGCTTCCTCTGCTGCTTAGGGCCGGGAGCAGCCCTGCCTCCTTGTCCTGGGGAAGAGACAGAGCTGGGGTTCCCCCAGGTGTACCTGTTGGCAGCACTCCTGGGTCGCCTTCCTGACACATGCCTCACCCAAGCTGGGGTTCCCATGACCACTGGGATGAGCCCTCTGTGTGCGGCTGCACCCTGCACATCTGGGTGGTTGGTTGTGTCTGTCCTGTCCCACAGCCACCACTGGTGTCCAGGTCTACTCACATGTCCATGGCCATCCCAGTGTGGGGCCATGGACCTCTGACCCCTGGCCCACCCTGTGGTGCAGAGCAGATGGCCGGGCCCGCCAGCCTCCCTGCGGCACCCTCGGGACAGCAGGCTCGGAGCAGGAGTGGGGCCAGGGCCGCACCTGGCGCGGGCGCCTCGGTTCTTCGTGAACCAGGGTGTGCTGTGGGTGCGTTCCCGCAGGGCGGGGTGTCCCAGGCCTTGCAGCGTGAGGCTCAGGAGCCAGACCGCTGGGTTGCCTAGGGTCTCTAGGTACCTCTGCACTTGGCCCTGATGGCTGGTGGCAGCACGTAGGGTGTGGCCTGTGGCGACTCAGAGCTTCTCCCACATCTCTCCTCAGAGAGCCTGACACCTCCTCTCCAGGCCTCCCCCAGCGCAGGCTGTCTGTCCGTCTTTCCCACTGGACCCTACCTCCTGAGGGCCAGCCTGCGACCTGTCTGTGCCCCCCAATACGTACAAGGGGAGCTCGGCGGGAGGCATGCATTTTGAGAAACTTGGTGATCTTTGAGGGTGAACACCATGGGCTTGGGGGCTGCGCTGTGAGTCAGGGGTACCCTCTTGAGACCTGCCCAGGCCCTATGTGGGGACTCGGGTAGCCAGGCACCTCTGGACAAGAATGGCCCTTGAGGCTGGCCTGAGCAGAGCCCCCCTGCCCAGGTCCCTGGTCTGCTCGTGTTTCTGTTCTTGATAAAGAATCTGCTCCCACGTGTTGGCGCATCAGAGCAGGGACACTGTGGGGTCCCCTGACTTGGGAGGCCGTGCCCCCAAGAGGAGGCAGAAACCCCTCCTTGCTGTGCCCCCCCCCCACCTCTGCAAGTTGTCCTGCAGCCTGCTCTAGGGCGGGTGTCAGTAACATTTTCAGGTGCCACTCAGATCTGAAGTGTCCTGACCGCGCAGATTCATAAGTGAGCAGGTGGGCGGGGGCTGAGTGGTGAGGGGCGACTGTGATGGCTTTGGGGCTTATTTCAGGTGATGCCGTCTGGAGCTGGGGAGAGGCGAGGGCCGCGGGACGGAGCGAGCAGCTGTGGAAGCAGCTGCCTTGTCACTGGTCCCTTTGTCCCCTTCAGACGTACATCTTAAGTTTCTCATTGCACTTAGGACAAAGTTCTTCAATCCATTTGTCTACTCCCCAGCTGTTCACAACAGCCAGGGGCTGGGTCGGGCTAGAGCCAGGAGCCCAGAACTTTATCCACGTTTCCCGCGTGGGTGGCCGGGACCCGAGTACTGGGCCCATCGCCTGCGGCTCCCAGGGAGTGCGTTGGGGAAGCTGGAACCCCAGGCTCTCCAGTGTGGGCGTCCCAAGCACTGCCCCGGACGCCCAGCCGTGAGGTTCACGCGTACTCTGGGCGTGCAGGAGGGAGGCCAGGTAGAGACGGAGTGAGTGGCGGACCCAGAGCTAACCTGGTACCCCGCAGCCTGAAAGGTAGCGGGGTCTTGGACTCGCCCCTGCTCCCCCCCCTGCCCTGCGCCCGCCCACCCCGCTGGCTGCTGAGCGCGCTCTCCGTCCCCTGTAGCGTGTACTGTAAGCACGGCCACCTGTGCCCCATCGACACCGGCCTCATCGAGAAGAACGTGGAGCTCTGCTTCTCGGGTTCAGCGAAGCCGATCTACGAGGACAACCCGTCGCAGGAAGGTGCGGGGGTGTTCCGGGGCGGCTTGGGGCAGATACTTTGACAAGAAGCGACACGAGAAAAGCTGTGCCCTTTAGAAGGCGGGCCGGAGACTGCCATGAGCAGCTGTTTGTACAATCACTTGGAAGAAATGTCAAGGGAGCTGGGCGTACTGCCTCCTGGGTTTGGTTTTGTCCTCTAGTGTGTCTAAGAGGCAGAGACAGATCTCCCAACCGCTAGCACGTTCCCCAGTACCCTCAGCGACCAGGGAGCTGAAGCAGAGTTGAACTCGATGGCAGTCTGCGACATGGGTGGCAGTGGCCCAGTGGCCTGAGCCATCACCTGCCCTGCAGGGTCTGCACTGGCAGGAAGCTGGAGTCAGGAGCCAGAGCTGGGAAGGGGCCAGACACCCTGATGCGTGCGTGGTCACCCTAAGCAGTGTCTCGGCCACTAGGCCCAGCGCCCAAGCGCCCGCTCCCTTGTGGCACCTGATTCATGGCCTTTTGGGAAACTTCCCTGCTCTTGCTTCTAGGCGGTGTCAATGGCAAGAACCTTGGCCCCATCAACGAGTGGTGGATCACGGGCTTCGATGGCGGGGAGAAGGCCCTCATCGGCTTCAGCACCTGTAAGTGTGTGGCCGCCGTGGGCGGGGCTGGGCTCAGTGCTCTCTGCAACCGTGAGCGTCAGTGGACAGAAACACTCGCCACGGTGATGGGAGCCTCGCCCACGTGGAGCAAACCGGCGCCTCCGCCTCCCCGCAGCGTTCGCCGAGTACATCCTCATGGACCCCAGCCCCGACTACGCGCCCATCTTCGGGCTGATGCAGGAGAAGATCTACATCAGCAAGATCGTGGTCGAGTTCCTGCAGAGCAATCCCGACTCCACCTACGAGGACCTCATCAACAAGATCGAGGTGGGGCGCTCGGGCCCCGGACGCGCAGCCTCGCCGCCGCGGCACAGCCTGGCCTAAGCAGTCGGGAAACTCCCGCTGTCTGTCCTTCCTTCCAGACCACCGTTCCCCCTTCCTCGCTGAACCTGAACCGCTTCACGGAGGATTCTCTGCTCCGCCACGCCCAGTTTGTGGTGGGACAGGTGGAGAGCTACGACGACGCCAAGGACAGCGACGAGCAGCCCATCTTCCTGACCCCCTGCATGCGAGACCTGATCAAGCTGGCCGGGGTCACCCTGGGGCAAAGGTGAGACCCAGCAGGACGGTGCCGGAGCCCAGCGGCCTGCGCCGCCTCCTGGTCTGCTGAGACAGGGGCCCCCTGTCCCCACAGGCGGGCGGAGCGGCGGCAGACCATCAGGCATTCCGCCAAGGAGAAGGACAAGGGGCCCACGAAGGCCACCACCACAAAGCTGGTCTACCAGATCTTCGACACCTTCTTCGCCGAGCAGATCGAGAAGGATGACCGAGAGGACAAGGAGAACGCCTTCAAACGCCGGCGCTGTGGTGTCTGCGAGGTACCGCCGCGGGGCCTGCCCGGGACCCTGGCAGCGGGAGCGGGGAGGGAGAGCTGGTGCTCGCGCTGTCGGCCGGAAGCGCAGGGAGGGGACGGGGGACGCTGTCGCTGCTGCTGTTGCCACCGAAGGGCCTGGCTCGGGCCTGGCTCCCCGCGGGGCGTTGGCTCTGCCCAGGGGGAGTGCGCGGGAGTGACCGCCCCCCCAGCGGGCAGCTCCCTGCTGCCTCGGGGCTGCAGGGGAGTTTGCTGGACTTGGAGCTGAGGCCTTTGAAGGCCTCCCTTTGTGAATTCCCCGTGTCCGTGCGTGTGTCCGTGCGTGTGTCCGTGCGTGTGTCCGTGCGTGTGTCCGTGCGTGTGTCCGTGCGTGTGTGTGTCCCCCACTCTGGAGGAGCTAATCCCCAGCCGTGTAACCAAGGCGTCAGGTGGATTCTGCTTCTCCGCTAGGTGAGCTGACTTCAGGTGGCCACTCAAACACAGACACGCAGCCGCTGCCCCAGAGCCTGCCCTCCGGCTCTCCGTGCCTGTTGCGGGTTTGTGTGTCTCCACCATTCCTGCCTGGTGTTCAGTGTTCTCACGTGGTGCAAGAGTCCTGACAGTCCTTCACTTCCCGCTTCCGTTGTCTGTAGTGGATGTCCCGTGTTGATGGGCCAGGTCGAGGCGACTCCTCTTGACTGGCCTAGTGTGCGGCACCCCATCTGCAGGGGACTCGGTCCAGGGCCCCCCCCCCCCCAAAATCCACGATGCTGCAGTCCCTTCTCTAAAGCGGTGCAGTGCTGGCATGGAGCAGAGACCCCGCCCATGTCCCCCCGGGGCCCCACAGCTCCTGGTGCCGGCGGTGCGCCCTGACTAGGGGACCTGCGGCGCGTCCTCGGCAGCTTTCCTGGCGTTCTCGACCCGGGTTGGCTGCGCTGCTGGCTGTGGGAGCGGCAGGTGCCGGGCTGCCGGGTCTCGCCGGGTGACTAATCCGACTTGGCCGCCGGAGGCAGCTTCTGGGTGATGAGTGACGCGGCAGCGTCGTGAGCCAAGCCACTCGTGCGCGTCTCCACTTAGAGCGACTGGGGTGCGGCTGGGAGCACCCGACTCGTGTCGGGACGCGGCTCCCCGCTGCGCCTTCACCACCCTCGTCGCTCCTTGCTTCCCCGCTTCGCCTGGCTGGCCTCTTCCCTTTGCTGTCCCAGGGGTGGTGGTCTTATTTCTGATTTTCTGATGCCTCTCATGAGGTAGAACGCGCACACTTTAAATTACAACTCGGGGCCAGCATTGTGGCACGGCAGGTAAAGCCGCCCCCTGTGATGGCTGCTCCTGTCCTGGCTGCTCCACTTCTGATCCAACTCCCTGCTGACCACCTAGGAGACGCTGCAAATGATAGCCCAAACATTGGGACCCCTGCTACCCACGTGGGAGACCCGGATGGAGCTCCTGAGTCAGCCCTGACTGTTAGAGCCATCTGGGGGATGAACCAGCAGATGCAAGACCTCTCTCTATCTTGTTCTCTGTAACTGACTTTCAGACAAGCTTTAAAAAAAACCTACACTTCCCCAGGAGTTACAGGCTGCATTAGGAGTGGCTGGCTGACTGGCCCGTGCAATGCTGTTCCAGGTTTGCCAGCAGCCCGAGTGTGGGAAGTGCAAGGCGTGCAAGGACATGGTGAAGTTCGGGGGCAGTGGCCGGAGCAAGCAGGCCTGCCAGGAGAGGCGGTGAGTCGGGCCAGCTGGCGGTCGGGGCGCCGTGGCACGGGGGCCTGGGCTGTGAGGGACGCACCCGTGCAGAGCCGGCGGGGGCCCTGCCGAGGCCTGACCACGGCAGCCCCAGCTGGCTCCGTCCTGCAGAGGGGCCTGAGGCCTGAGCCATAACGGGCGACTTCGCAGGTGCCCGAACATGGCCATGAAGGAGGCCGATGACGACGAGGAGGTGGACGACAACATCCCAGAGATGCCTTCCCCCAGGAAGATGCACCAGGGGAAGAAGAAGAAGCAGAACAAGAACCGCATCTCCTGGAGTGGGGACGCGGTCAAGGTGAGCCTCCTCGCCCTGCCTCCCGCCAGCCAGGCCCCCAGAAACCTGCCCGTCGGCCGCTGGGGGCAGCAGGACCGGCTGAGAGGTCCCCTGGCCACGCACCAGAGAAGCTTGATTCCCTCTTCCCGATCGTCCCAGGAGTGGGGATTTGGTGTATCCGAATGGCTCGGATGCCCACTTCCCACTTGGGGCCTTGGATGCGAGTCCCAGCTCCGACTCCTGGCTCAAGCTTCCTGTTAGTGTGGACCCCAGGAGGCAGCAGAAATGGGTCCCTGCCACCCGTGTGGAGACCCGGATTGAGTTCCTAGCTCCCAGCTCTTGCAGGGAATTCTCTCCTCTGTCTCTTTGCCTTGTTTCTTAAAGACTTAATTATTTGAAAGTCAACTTAATTATTTGAAAGTCAGTTACTAAGAAGAGATTGTCCACTTACTAGTTCACTCCCCAAATGGTCACAACAGCCAGGCCAAAGCCAGGAGCCGGGAGCTCCATCCGGGTCTCCCATGTGGGTGGCAGGGACCCAAGCACATGGGCCATCTCCCGCTGCTTTCCCAGGCGCATTAGCAGGGAGCTGGGCCAAGACTGGAACTGGCCCTCAAATGGGATGCCAGTATCCTAGGTAGCGGCTTAACCTGGCGCACCACAGTACCGGCCCCTCTGCCTCCCATGTGACTGTTCACGGGGGAGGGGCCTTTGACACATGGTGGGGCGTTGGGCAGTTTAGCCTTCGAAGCTGGTTTGGACGAGCGCCGTCACAGCCCCGTCTGGAGGGAATGGGTGTGCTCAGGTGCTGGGAGCTCGCCTATGGTGCTGGTGGCCATCAGCCAGAGGGCCAATGCCTTCACCAAAGCTCGGGTGACAGGTGTCCCCTCACTCTCACTTGCTGATGTCCACAAACCACAGGTGCCGTCAGGTTGGGGGCCCGGCCCTTGCTGGTCTAAGCCCCAGATGTGGCTAAGCCCCTGCAGGAGGACAGATGGGTGCTGCCAGGTGGGGGGAGTGCCGTGGGGGTGGGGCTGGGCCGCGTGGTGACCTTGGAGTTCATGGGAGCCAGCAGGGGAAGAGCTGGGGAAGCATGGCCTTGCAGTGGCCACCAGCTTTCCTCGTGTGACTGGAGCAGGTGGGGCGAAGGGGCTGGCGGGCAGGAGGAGTTGGGTCTGAAGGTGGCCGTGGACCTCGGTGACAGGCGGGCTGTGGTGCTATAGAAACAACACTGGAGCCCAGGTGGCCGCTGGCGCTGGAGTGCAGAGCGGGGGTCGGGGAGCTGCCTGGGCTGACCTCAGAAGGGACGAGATGAGTCGGGTGTTCTAGACATGGCGGGGTCCCTCGGGGCAGCCTGGCAGGGCCGTCAAGTGCCCTCCCCTGGAACGCCGCTTCGGTTTGCAGGTCGACGGGAAGAAGAGTTACTACGAGAAGGTGTGCATCGACGCGGAGACCCTCGAAGTGGGGGACTGCGTCTCTGTGATCCCGGATGACTCCTCCAAGCCCCTGTACTTGGCCAGGTTCGTGTGCTTGCCCTTGACCTCGGGGCACTTCCTCATGAGTGAGGTAAAAGATACGTCTACCGCAGGCCTTTAGCCGAGTAGTTAAGGGGCCTTGCATCCCACGTCCGGGTACCCTGGTTCGATTCCTGGCTCCAGCTCCTGAATTCAGTTTCCTGCTAATGCACACCCTAGGAGGCAGCAGGTGATGGCTCAGCTGCTTGGATCCCTGGCACCCACCTGTGCGAGACCCGGATTGAGTTCCTGGCTCCAGCCCTGGCCGTTGTGGGCATTCAAGGAGTGAACCAGCAAAGGGGAGCTCTCTTGTCTCTGTCTCAAGTAAATCAATCTTTAAGGTTGATGCCGGTGCAAGAATTTTTTTAAAGATTTACTTATTTGAAAGTCAGAGTTACACGGAGAAGAGAAGCAGAGACAGGTCTTCCGTCTGTTGGTTCACTCCCCAAATGGCCACAACGGCTGGAGCTGCGCTGATCCGAAGCCAGGAAACCGAGGAGCTTCTTCCGGGTCTCCCACACGGATACAGGGACCCAAGGACTTGGGCCATCTTCTACTGCTTTCCCAGGCCATAGCAGAGAGCTGGATTGGAAGTGGAGCAGCTGGGTCTCGAACTGGCGCTTCAGGCCAGGGCACTAACCCGCTGCACCACAGTGCTGGCCCCGGCAAGAATTTTGAAATTCACATATACAGGGAGTCTTCAAAAATCTGTAGAAAATGAGAAACAATGCATGGGTGTCAGTTTCTTGCACAAAGCGAGGTCATCTTTCATCTTAACCTCCATGACTGAAAGAGCCTTGTACGAGCACCCCCCTACCCCCAGGGTGCAGCCCCCTGTCCGCCTGCCAAGGTGCCAGCTCTCTCCCCGGTCCCGTGTCCGCCTGCAGAGTGACAGCCCTGTGGGAGGACAGCAGCAACGGGCAGATGTTCCACGCCCACTGGTTCTGCGCCGGCACCGACACGGTCCTGGGGGCCACATCGGACCCCCGGGAGCTGTTCCTGGTGGACGAGTGTGAGGACATGCAGCTGTCGTACATCCACAGCAAGGTGACGGTGGTCTACAAGGCGCCCTCGGCGAACTGGGCCATGGAGGTGAGCCCCCACCGCCCGCTCTCACCCCCCCCCACCCTCGCCTCTCGTGGCTGCAGTGCGCCTGACGCGGCTCTCCTCCCCGCAGGGAGGCATGGACCCCGAGTCCATGCTGGCAGGGGATGACGACGGCAAGACCTACTTCTACCAGCTGTGGTATGACCAGGACTACGCGAGGTTCGAGTCTCCCCCCAAGACCCAGCCCACGGAGGACAACAAGTACAAGTGAGTACGCGCGTGAGGGCCCGGCCCTGGGAGCCTTCCAGGTGCTTCTGGCGGGGGGTCTGCAGGCAGGCGCACAGCCACCTCCTCCCCGCTTGCTGCCCCGAGCAGCTGGACCCCATGGGAACTGCCTGAAGTACGGGGGACCCCCTGTAAGCTGTGGAGGAAGGTGCCGTCTGCTTCGGGATGTGCCCCTCGTGCAACCGCGCCGCGTGTCGCCGTCCTCTGGGACTGAGACCTCTGCCCTCTGACCTCTTCAAATTGTTTTTTAAAGACTGACTTATTTGAAAGGCAGAGGCAGAGAAAGTTTTTATCCCCAGATGGCCACAACGGCCAGAGCTGAGCTGATCAGGAGCCAGGAGCTTCTTAGTCTCCCACGTGGGTGCAGGGGCCCAAGGACTTGGGCCATCCTCCACTGGTTTCCCAGGCCACAGCAGAGAGCTGGATCAGAAGTGGAGCAGCCGGGACTCTAACCGGCGCCCATATGGGATGCCGGCCCTGCGATCGGCAGCTTTACCCGCTACGCCACAGCGCCGGTCCCTTCTCTGCCCTCTTGTTCTCGCAGCCAGACCCCTTGTTGATGGTTAGCCCCCATGCCTGTTGCCGACCTCTGCTTCTCACTTGTTGGAGGCCAGGCCAGCACCCCCAGAACAGTGCAATGAGGTGCACCTGTAGCTTCCCCAGAAGCCCCTCGTAGGTTGACAGTGCGCTCGGGAGAAAACCTGCCAATGGTGCTCGCTCAGCCCGCCTTAGTGCACTCGGAGCGCTTACGTGAGGGGCAGGCCTCGGTGCCACCATGAAGCCGCTGCTTGAGACGCCCGTGTCCCACATCCGAGTGCCTGGACTCGGGTCCCTCCTGGAGCCACTCTTCGCCGCCTTGCTCCTAGTGGGACCCCATGTTGGGATCCCGCTCTTGCTGGCTCCCCATAGACCTGTCCTTGTCACTTCCTGGTGTTGTGTGCCCTCTGTGGGCTTGGCCCAAGCAAGGGCCTCCCGCGAGTGAACACGAAGTGCGGAGCGCTGGTCTCTGCCGCCGGGGTCACTGCCTGTCCCCTCCCGCAGGTTCTGCGCCAGCTGTGCCCGCCTGGCCGAAATGCGGCAGAAAGAAATCCCCAGGGTCCTGGAGCAGCTTGAAGACCTGGACACCCGGGTCCTCTACAGCTCCGCCACCAAGAATGGTGTCCTGTACCGCGTGGGCGACGGCGTGTACCTGCCCCCTGAGGCCTTCACGTTCAAGTGAGTGCCCCGGCCCCTCCCAGCAGTGTCTGAGCTGGCTCTGCCCGGCTCTGCAGTAGAGTGCAGCCGTGAAACCAGAGGGCCCAGGGGTCGGCCCCTCTCCGCCTGCCTCTGAGCAGCCAGGGGGCGGAGGGTGGGGCCTCCCCGTTCCTGACAGCAGGGGAAGCTCGGCGGTGGAAAGGGAGAGGTGAGGTGCCCGACACAGTGCCTGTGGAACGCGTGATGGGGTGCTTTCTGGGTCAGGTGACGTCAGGCCCCGCTGCCCTGACCTCTCTGACCTCTCTGACCTCTCTGGGGTCAGAGTCGCGGCAGCACATGGCTGTCGCCTCGATTCGCTCGGCAATCAGGCTTAACCCAGCGCATGCTGGGAGTTGTAGCCCACGTGTGCTGACCTGGAATCAAGTTTCCCTTCAGTCCCCGTGGGAACCTGTTCCCCGGGCTCGGTTGCATTTCTGTGTCCCGAAAGGGCAAGTGGGGCCCTTCCAGACCGCGTCCCCTCCTCTGGCCCCACTGTCCTTGGCCCGGAGCGCCTGCCGGGGGCCCTGGTGGCCAGAGGGGGCAGCTGGCTTGTTCACAGCACTCGGACCAAACTTGGGTCCCCTGAGACGCTCTGTTCCCTGCCCTGTGGCTCCTCTTGTGTCGCGTCCAGTGCCCTGGACATGCCACGGTGACCCCCACAAGTCACGGTAACTGAGGACCCCAGAATTTCTCTTGGCTTGAGTGTGGCGCCCACTGCGGTTCCGCGGGAGGGCTTGGTCTGCTTACGCTCCTCGAAAGACCTGACCTTCTCGAGCAGTGGCCTCGTGCCCATGGCGAGAGCAGGCCGGGCACGCCCACGTCACTTCTGCTCGTGCTCGGTGTCCAGAGCCAGCCGTGAGTGTGGCTGGGAGGCAGGGAGCTGGCCACCACCCTGGAAGCGACCTGAGGCGGAGCCGTCTTCCTGCGCGGGCACTGTTGAGGTCGTTGGCTGCTCCCGCGAGACGGATCCGACAACCCCCACCCTCACAAGCAGCTCATCTTGGGGGCCCCGCCCTCCTCCCTGCAGCATCAAGCCGTCCAGTCCCGTGAAGCGGTCGCGGAAGGAGGCCGTGGACGAGGAACTGTACCCGGAACACTACCGGAAGTACTCGGACTACATCAAGGGCAGCAACCTGGACGCGCCCGAGCCCTACCGCATCGGCCGCATAAAGGAGATCT